ATGCGCGGCCATCCCGCGATCATTGTCAAATGGTTTTTGACAGGGACCGCGGGGGTAGTGGCGCGTGGCCTGCTGTGCGCAGGCCCACCAGGCACAATGATGGGCATTGGTTTTCGGCAAGGATGGTGGGGGCCGACATGTTTCCCGATGTGTGCTGTCACGTGCGCAGGAGCACCTGACGCACTCTGCACGTGCCCCGGACGTGGCGCACCTGGCGCGGCTGGAGTGTGCGGCACACCTGGCGCACTCGGAGCACGTGGCGCATCTGGCGCAGCAGGCGCGCCTGGCACGCTCGGGCCCAAGGGGTGCCTGGCGCGCGGGGCGCCCCTGGCACGCGTGGCAAACCTCGCCCAAGCGTCGCGCACCTGGGATCGGCGTTGGTTCCTTGCAGCTGTCCTCCTCCTCCTCCTCCTCCTCCTCCTCCTCCTCCTCCTCCTCCTCCTCCTCCTCCTCCTCCTCCTCCTCCTCCTCCTCCTCAGCTGTCCATCCAAAGACGACAGCTGAACATGCTCAGGCTCGGGTGTTACTTGTGTGTTGGGAGGGCGGGTGTGAGTGAGCTAGACGGCTAGACGGCTTGCGGGCGTGTGGGTAGCTTGACCCCTCCCCCTTGCCCCCTCCCCTGGACCTGGACGGGCGGTGCCGCGACCCATTGGAGCGTCCAAGATGGCCCAAGATGGCTCCAAGGAGGCCTCGGAGAGCCTAAGATGACCTCCAAGATGGCTCCCAAGATGCTCCAAGAGGCCCCAAGACCGCTCCAAGACGGCTCCAAGTGGCCACGGAGTCTCCCACGGATGCCCCCATGAGGCCCAAATCTTCCAACACTTGAGGGAACAAATGAATTTGGCAGTCGTTCCGTTTTGCGTTCGATGGCTTCCCGAGGCCTCAAGATCGCCCCAAGACGGCCCAGGAGGGCCCCAAGAGAGGCCCAAGGGAGCCCCAAGACGGCCCCAAGACGGCCCAGGAGGGCCCCAAGAGCGATCCAAGAGTGGTCCAAGAGGCGAATTTAGGCACTCGAAGGGCGAGGCTACTTGAAGCTCCTCCCTTTTTGAATCGATCGCCCCCAAGGCTCCCAGGAACGCCCCAAGAGTGCCCCAAGAGGCGCCCAGCAGGCGCCAAGAGGCCGCCAAGAGGCTCCCTCGACACCCCCAAGAAGCTCCCCGAGGCGCCCAAGAGGTCCCCGGGACCACCAAGAGGTCCCGAAGACGCCCCAAGAGGCCTTCAAGTTCGCAATGTTCCTCCTCAGGCCGCAGGCGCTCGTCGTCGCTCGAAGAATCCCTCCTCATCATCATTACCATCATCTGCATATGTCTCATCATCCTCCGCCCTCCCTCATCTATCCCCCTCCTTGTTTTCCTCCTTCTGCGAACGATAACGGCTGCACCCCTCTTTGCTCCTACATTCCCCCGATCACCTCTCGCCTGGGTGTCGTTTCTGCTCGCACTGGCGTCGTTTTCTGGATGGGTTGGTGGGGCTATTTTTTGTCGCAACCGCAGGCGAAGGCGCCGGCGGCGTCACAGGTCGGCTCGGGCTGCGAGCTCTGGTGGGGATACTTTTTTGGTCGGCGGCTCCGAGGCGGCGGACAGGGAGCGGTAGGCGTCGTTCTGGTGGGGATATTTTTTGATCTGCGGCTCCAACGACGATTCCAGAGAGCGGGTCGTAATACTGGTGGGATACGCGAAGCGTCAAGAATTGGAATTGCGCCAGTGGAGAAGAGGACCCAGGTGACGAGCATGATGATGTGGACAAAGAATATGACTTAGTAGCTGGTTATGTAGTTTATAAGCCCCCCTCCTAACGCAAAGTGCGAGCGTGTCAGCCTTAGACTTATTTTGGTGCATCACCATGGGGTCGAAGCAGGTATCATATTGCCCTGGCAGTTGCAGTGCGCGAGAGATAAGCGTAGAAGAATAACCACATGTGAGAGAAGCCAAATCATCAATGAACATGGTATCGCTTACGAATATGCGCAATCCAGATAGAGGCGATACCTCGTCCAATTCAGGACATGGTCGATAGCCTGGCTTCTGCATCATCGATTTGATTATTCTTTTGTGTTGAACTGTTGAAAAGCTGTGTGACCAGAGAAGAGGAGGAGGAGGAGGAGGAGGAGGAGGAGGAGGAGGAGGAGGAGGACAAGGACGACTGCAGGAACGGGGGAGGAGGACGAGGAGGAGGAAGAGGAGAAGGCGGGAGAAGCTGGACGAGGAAAATGAGCAGGAGGGAGGGAGGAGAGGGACCTATGAGATGGGCGAGCAGAGAGGATTAGGAACAGCCCAAACATCCGACGTCACGTTCTCTTTCACAACGTGGTTCCCCAGAGGTCTGTGCCCGTTCCTGGGGACTGCCCCTGCATCCTTGGCAATGGTGGAGGCCCACACAGGCCGAAAGCGGCCAAGAATTGTCCGTCGTGCCTTTCTCTCGACGCGACGATGCATGGGAGGGACGAGGAGCACAGAGAAGAGGAGCGGGGGGGGGGCGGCGGAGGTTCCCCTGCGGCGAGGCGGCTGCTCTCGCAGCGCCTGTCGCCGGTGGCGCGCCACGTCATGGCAGGGGAGGTCACGCCCGGCGTCTGCGGCCCGGTGCCTCTTTCTCTTCTGCGTTCAGTGGCAACGAGTGGGGGGGGATAGGCATAGGGAGGGATGCATCGCCCCCCAATCGCCCATTGATCGTCGACAGGGGCCCGATAGCCCCAACCTACCCAGGAAGGTGCGGATTCACTATCGGAGGCATATCGCCGATCTATCGGCGATGTATCGCCGATTCCAGGTCGATGCATCCCCCCCTCTATGCCAGTCCCCCCCCCTATCGTTGCCCCTCATGCGTTCCGCGTGTCGGGGGCGTCCCAGAGTCGAGGGAGGAAGAAAATCACATCCCGACCATCACAGTCGGCGTTTGCTGGACGGTCCGCTGCGTCTGCTCCGCAGTTCTGCCCTGCCCGACTCCTTCCCCCCGCCGGGGCGTCTCGCTTGCGGGGGTGTTTCTCACGAGGGTGGCCCTTCTGCCAGGAGGAGGAGGAGGAGGAGGAGGAGGAGGAAGAGGAGGAGGAGGAGGAGGAGGAGGAGGAGGAGGAGGAGGAGGAGGAGGAGGAGGAGGGAGGAGGAGGGGGAGGGGGAGGGGGAGGAGGGGAGGAGGGGAGGAGGAGGGGAGGAGGAGGATGGAGGAGGAGGAGAGAAGGGAGGAGGAGGAGGAGGAGGAGGAGGAGGAGGTGTCGATCATCGATGGGGAGCGGGGGGGCGGAGGCGTGTCCTCGTCGGCGCCGGGGGGCCTGCTCGCCTCGAGGTGCCGTCCCGCGGCCGCGCCCTGCCGAGGGCTCTCCGGGGGTGCCCCGATCGCACCGAGCGGCCGCCGGAGGTCGGCACGCCAGCCCCCACTCGTCCCGGCACCCCGTCGGCGCACACGAGCAGGAGGCGTCGAGGGTCGAGGAGATGGAGGAGGGCCAGGCGTCGGGAGGAAGAGAAGGAGTCGAGGAGGAAGCCTCCCTCATCTTCCAGGTCCCAGCTTCCTTTCCCCCCCCCCCCCCCGAGGTGCCGCGCCTCGGCCTGGCGGTCCGCGGCGCCTCGGTGGAGTGGCCCGCGCCCTACCTCGCGCGCGCGCGAATCGGCTCCGCGCGCCCACCGTCGTCGGCGTCGTGGTCGTCGCCGCGGGCGCCGCCAGCGCCGCCGCCGCCGTTCGCATCCGCTCGCCGTCGCCGTAGCAGGCCGTCCGTCGTCAGCGCGGGCGCCCTACCGCCGCCGCCGCAGCCGTCGTCGCCGCTGTCGCCGTCCACGTGGCTGTCGGGGGCTGAGTCGAGCCTTCTCCAGTCAGGAGAGGAAAAAACACACAGACACAATTAATCGTCGATTCCCAGGAAGATATGGGAAAATATGGGAAGTGGGGGGGGAGACAAAAACCCAGAAAATATGGGGAAATATGGGGAATTGTTTTACTTGCGTGTATTTATTTGTGTGTCCTGGGGCGCCTTCATCCAGGACCGATCGGATGGGCAGAAGCCAGGCCGCCGACCCCAGCGACGCCAGGCAAAGGGGGTCGCCCTCGTGGACGCTCGCGCGTCCAGCACTCCGCGTGAGGTCGCGCGTCGGCGCCCACGTCTCCCTGCGGTGGTCCGCGCGAGAAGCTCGCGTGCGTCTTCCTCCTCCCCCTCCTCCTCCCTCCGCCTCCTCCTCCTCCTCCTCCTCCTCCTCCTCCTCCTCCTCCCCCTCCTCTCCCTCCTCCTTCCTCCTCCTCCTCCTCCTCCTTCCTCCTCCTTCCTCCTCCTCCTCCTCTCCTCCTCTCCTCCTCCTACCTCCTCCCTCCTCCCTCCTCCTCCTCCTCCTCCTCTCCTCCTCCTCTCCTCCTCCTCCTCCTCCTCCTCCTCCTCCTCCTCCTCCTCTCCTCCTCCTCCTCCTCCTCTCCTCCCTCCTCCTCGCCTCCTCGGGGACGGCGTCGGAGGATCGCGCCGCAGCGCCCATGCCTCGGCGACGCTGCGGCCCCCGGGGCCCGAGGCCGACACACCCGGGGGCCGCCCGAGCTTGCGGCGCCCGAGCTGTCTCTATGTTTTGGGAGTTGCCGGCCGTCCGGGCTGGGGCCCCACCAGCCAGCCCTGCACCATTAAAACGACGCGAAGGTCGGGACAAAGTCGGATCGGGGTAACTCGAAATCTCTGAGAATCGGCGGGTTTGGAGGATGTATTGGGCGCCGCGGCCGCTCCAGAGCGTTCCGGAACGCTCTGAGAGCGCTCCGGAACGCTCTGGTGCGATTTCTCCCGATCCTAGCCCTGTTTTACACCATGCCCGTGCGCTGCTGACACCTCCCCGGACACGGGCGGGGGAGTGCGGCGCACGTATATAGCGCCGAGCAGCGACGGAGACGTGGCCGCCTCGAGGCCACGCCTCGGATGGCCGGCAGCACTTCTCTTCGCCGGAGGGGGCAACGGACCGGGGCCGGGCGCTGCGGCTCCTCCGGCAGAAAAAACGAAGTCATCGTCTGGCGTTAGGTGGGGCATGTCTTTCTACAGGAGGAATACTCACAAATAGTCGAATGTAATTTTGAGGCGATTTCTGGATTATGTTTGGCTATCGTCCAAGTTCCGCCTTCCGGGGGACATGCCCGACCTAAGTCTGGCGTTTTCTGGCCCTTTTCCCTGAACCTTTACAACTCCCCGCAGTGATCTTCTTCACTGACGCCACGTCCTCCACGCCATACCATGATGTCGAGAGAATGTCAGGCTCGAGCTCGCCAGAACTCGGGTCAGCCGCCGCCTTCGGCGGTCCAGGCGTGCACTGTGACGGTCCAGTTTCCGTGAGATGTTTGCTGCGGGCCTTCGCGTCAGATTTCAGATCAGGTCTCGCCATTTTTCTGACGGGCCCGTCAGGCGAACTCGTGACCCACAGAGCTCGAGCCTTACGCATCCCCGCTGATGGTCACGAGCGGGCTCTCCAGCGGAGCGCGCACGCTTTTCGTCATTCGTCCGTTCCCTCTGCAGCGAGATCCGCCGGCGGTCGCGGACAACCGTCCTCCAACGCGCTGGGGCCCGCCCAGGCCCAAGGCCGCCGCCAGCCGGGCGAATGCGGCGACAACGGCGACCAGTACGACGATGAGGGCGGCGGCGAACACGAGGGTTGCGGCGACGACGACGACGACGTGGCGGCGACGGCGACGACGGCGACGACGACGACGACGACGACGGGAGCGGCGACGACGACGACGAGGGTGGCGACGACGACGACGGGGGACGGCGGCGACGAGGGCGGCAACGGCGACTACGACGACGACGACGACAGTGACGACCACGAGGGCAGTGACGACGACGACGACGCTCACGACGACGACGACGACAACGGTGGCGGCGACGGCGACGACGATGACTACGACGACATCGACGACGACGACGACGAGAGCGGCGACGACGACGACGACAAGGGCGGCGACGACGACGACGGGGGACGGCGGCGACGAGGGCGGCGACGGCGACTACGAAGACGACGACAGTGACGACCACGAGGGCGGTGACGACGACGACGACGCTGACGACGACGACGACGACGACGACGAGGGCGACAGCGGCGGCGACGACGACGACGAAAACGAAAACGAGGGCGGCAGAGACAACGAAGTGAACGACGACGAGGGCGGCGACGATGAAAGTGTCGACGTCAACGAAATGGTCAGTGACGACGACGACAACGCCGACGTCGAGGGCAGAGACGACGACGGTGGCGACGAGGGCGCTGGGGCCCGCTCAGGCCCGAGGCGGCGACAACGAGCACGATGATGATGACGACGACAACGATCACGACGACGACGATGACGACGACGACGACGACGACGACGACGACGACGACGACGACGGCGACGACGACGACGAGGGTGGAGACGACGACGACGACGACGACGGTGACGACGAGGGCGGCGACGACGACGACGACGACGAGGACGACGACGACGACGACGACGACGACGACGACGACGGCGACGACGACGACGACGACGACGACGACGACGATGGCGACGACGGCGACGGCGTCGTCGACGACGACGACGACGAGGACGACGAGGGCGGCGACGACGACGTTGACGACGAGGGTGGCGACGCCGACGACGACGAGGGCGGCAGAGACAACGACGTCGGACAACGGCGACAAGCGAGCCGGTGACGGCGCTGAGTCAACGTCGACAACGTGGAAATTGACGGTGACGAAGGCGACGACGGTGGCGAGGGGGGCGCTGGTGCCCGCCCAGGCCCGAGGCCGATGCCAGCCGCGCGACGGCGACGACAGCGACGAAAACGACGACGATGACGATGACGACGCCGCGACTACGACGACGACGACGACGACATGACGAGACGACGAAGGCGGCAACGACGACGGCGACGACGTTTTCGTCGACGACGAGGACGAGGGTGGCGACGACGACCACGAGGGCGTCGCCGACGACAACAACGACGACGACGATGACCAGGGCAGCGACGACGACGACGACGACGATGGCCGCAGAGACGTCGACGACGACGACAACAACAAAAGTGCCAACGTCGACGCCGACGTCGACGCCGACGACGAGGGCAGCGACGACGAGGGTGACGACAGTGGCGACGGGGGCGCTGGGGCCCGCCCAGGCCCTAGGCCATTGGTGGCCGCGAGATGGCGACGACGACGACGGGGACGGTGACGATGAGAGCGGCGGCGACGACGACGCCGACGACGACGACGAACGAGGGCGACGACGACGACGACGACGACGACGACGACGACGACGGGGACGGCGACGACGAATGCGGCGACGACGGCGCCGGCGGCGACGACAGTGACGACGACGAGGGCGGCAGGGACAACGAAAGGAACGACGACGAGGGCGGCGACGACGAAAGGGCCAACGTCAACGACATGGTCAGTGATGACGACAGGGTCGATGACGAGGGGGACGACGATGACGACGACGAGGCCGACGTCGAGGGCAGCGACGACGGTGGCGACAAGGGCGCTGGGGCGTTGACAGCCGCGCGACGACGACGACGACAAGGGCGGCGACGACGACGACGACGATGACGAAGACGACGACGACGAGGGTAGCGACGACGACGACGACGACGACGACGACGACGGTGACGACGACGATGGCGGCGATGACAACGACGACGTCGACGACGACGGTGAAGACTAGTGGCGACGACAACGAGGGTGGTGACAACGACGACGACGAGGGCGGCGGAGACGTCGACGACGACGACGACACATGTGGCAGCGTTAACGGCGACGACGCCGACGACGAGGGCAGCGACGACGAGGGCGACGGGGGCGCTAGGGCCCGGGCCTGAGGCCGTCGCTGGCCGCTCGATGGCGACGACGACCACGACGCCGCCTGTGTCGAGGGGGTGGCGGCGGCGAAGACGACGGCGACGACGGTGACGACGACCACGGCGAAACGACGACGACGACGACGGCGACGATGACGATGGCGACGACGACGAGGGCGACGGCACCGACGAGATTTGCGGCGACGACGACGACGTCGACGGTGTCGACGACGACGACGACGACGACGTCGACGGCGACGACGACGACGAGGGCGACGACGAGGGCGGCGACGACAAAAGGGTGGACGTCGACGACAAACCCGACGACCAGGGCAGTAACGACGAGGGCCACGGCGGCGGCGACGACGCTGGGGGCGCCAGGGCCCGCCCAGGCCCGAGGCCGCCGCCAGTCGCGCGACGGCGGCGACGACCAGGGTGGCGACGACGATGACGATGAGGGCGGCTGCATTGGCGACGACAGCGACTGCGACGGCGACGACGACGACGACGACGACGACGACGACGACGACGACGACGACGGCGACGACGACGACGACGACGACGACGACGACGACGACGAGGGCGACGACGACGACGACGACGACGACGACGGCGACGGCGACGGCGAAAGTGGCCACGACGACGACGACGAGGGCGACGACGACGACGATGACGAAATGGACAACGACGACGAGGGGGTCAACGACGACGACGACGACTCCGACGCCGACATGGACTGCGATTACGAGGACGACAACGGTGGCGACGACGACGAGGGCGCCGCCGCCAGCCGCGCGACGGCGTCGACCATGACGACGACGACGACGACGAGGACGACGACGACGACGACGTTTGCAGCGACGACGACGACGACGAGGGCGACGAAGACGACGTCGACGACGGCGACGACGATGACGATGACGATCCGGGCGGCGGCATCGACGAGGGTTGCGGCGACGACGACGACGATCACGACGCAAACGACAAGAGCGGCGACGACCACGGCGACGGTGGCGGCGATGACGACGACGGCGACGGGGTCCATGACGACGAGGACGACGACGACGACGACGGCGGCGACGAGGGCGACGACGACGACAAAAGGGGCAACGACGACGACGACGGTGTCAAGGACGGGGGGGTGACGATGACGCCGACGACGACGGCATTGAGGACGAGGGCGGCCACGGTGTCGACGACGACGGGGGCGCCGGCCGAGCGACGACGACGACGACCACCCCCACGACGACAACGACGAAGAGGTCAGCGACGACGACGACGACGGATGCAATTACGACGACGACGACGGCGACGGAGCGTTTTCCACTGCGACGACGGCGAGGGCGACGGCGATTGGGTCACGACGACGGCTACGATGACAACGACAATGGCGATGACGACGGCGAAGGCGACGACGACGATGACGATCAGGGCGGCGGCATCGGTGTTGACGACGTTGATCACGACGAGGTCGACGACGACGTCGACGACGACGACGACGACGGCGGCGCTGACGACGACGACGGCGACGACGACGACGACGACGACGACGAGGGTGACGATTACGGCGACTGCGACGGCGACGGCGGCTGGGTCCACGACAACGACGACCACGATTTGGGCGGAGGAGGCGACGACGAGGACGGCGACGATGGCGACGAGGGTGGCGACGACGACGACTTCGTCGACGACGGTGGCGATCACGAGGCTGGCGACGACGACGAAGACGATGACGACGACGACGACGACGACGACGACGACGACGACGACGACGACGACGACGGTTGCGACGACGACGATCACGATGGCGACGACGACGACGATGATGGCGACGACGACGATGACGACGACGACGACGTCGACGACGACCACGTCGACGATTGCGACGGCGAGTGGACCACGAGGACGTCGACAACGAAGTCAACGAGGGGGTAGAGAACGACGAAGCTGACGGGGCGACGACGAGGGCGAGGGCGACGACGATGGCGACGACGACGACGACGATGGCGTCGACGACGACGACGAGGGCGGCGACGACGACGTCGACGACGATGACGACGACGACGACGACGACGACGACATCGACGACGACTATGACGACGACGGGGGCGGTGGCGACGACGACGCCGGCGACGTGGGCGACGACGACAACGGCGACAGCGACATCCATGGGGTCAACGACGATGACGACGATGCGGCCGCGACGATGACGGCGAGGACGAGGGC